ATTTTTATGCTTTTCCTCTTCCTTCTTTTTTCCTACCGTCTTTCTTTCCTTCTTTCGTTAGTCCTTCTGTTACTCTTTTGTATACATCTTTTTCATTCTTTTTCTATTCCTTCCTTCTTTCGTTCTTTCTTTTCTTTCTTTCCTTCATTCTGCTATTCTTTGATGTACATCTTTATATTTATATCTCCCTTTCTTTTCTTCCTTCCTTCCTTTTTTTTCTTTTTTCTTTCTATCCTTCTTTCATTTCTTCTGCTATTCTTCCACGTACTTCTCTTTGTGCCTTTTCTCTCCCGTTTTTCTTTCTTTCCTTTCTTCCTTCCTTGGGTCATTCTTCCCTTCTTACTTTCCTTCTTTCATTCATTCCTTCTGCTATTCTTTCGTGTATATCTTTTTAATGCTTTTTCTCTTCCTTCTTTTCTTCTTTCTGTCTTTCCTTCTTTCATTTGTTTCTTCTGCTATTCTTTCACGGAAATCTTTTTATGCTTTTTTTTTACCCTTTTTCTTCCTTCCTTTCTTCTTTCTTTCTTTCTTTTCTTTTTTCATTCATTCATCCTTTATACTATTCTTTTCTATTCATCTTTTTTTTCAATTTTTCTTCTTCTTTTTCATTCTTTGCTTATATCTGTTATTCTTTCAATGTATTTTTTGCTTTTCATGTTTTTCTCTGTTTTTCCATTCCTCCCTTCTAATATTCTTTCATCTGCAATTTTTTCTTCTTCCTTCTTTCGTTTCTTTCTTCTTTCTGTGTAAAAATATTTTCTCTACACCTTCTTTCTTTCTCTTACTCTTTTCTTTCTTTTTTTTTTATTTTTCGCCTTTTACTGCTTTCTTATTTTCTTCTCTTCTTACTTCCTTCTTTCTTCTCCCTTTCCTCCCGATATTTTTTTCTGTTCACCTTTTTTGTTTTCCTTCTTTCATTTCTTCTTTCTATTATTTTTTTCCGTTCATTTCTTTTTTTCATTCTTCAAAATTTTCTTTCCTAACTTCTTGCCGTCTGGTATTCTTTATCTTCTCCACTCCTTCCTTCCTTCCTTCCTTCCTTCTTCAACGAATTAACGCTTGAGGGAATCTTTTTGCCCGAAGGCACTGCATTTTATCGACACTCGAGTTCTGCTCTTATCCAAAACGACATATCCCATGATCCTTCAGGAACATAATCTCATGAATTACTTGTACTTGTCCTGCATAATTTGTTCTTTGAAAAAAGTGTTTAACGTCTGTTTCAGGGAAATGGAAAAAAATGTTCAATTTCACATCTCGTTTGTACCCACTTCTTAAAATAATGACCAGCATTCATATTTATGATTGCCATTTGAATATGATTATTGCAATATTTTATTAAAGTTGATAAGCCCAAATAGTTGACTATGCGATAAGGGAATTTCTACAATCATTTTATTACCGTAGAACTCGCCATGAGCTCATTCAGTCACGAAATTAAGAATTAAGATTCATCAGAAATAGGAAAGCCGAGAAATCTTCACGTCTATTTCTAGTATTATATTACCAGTACAAAAAAACTACAATTATTAGAAGTTTTTACCATAAAAGAGCGGAATTAAGTAAAATCTTCATCAATGTTAAAATTTTGGCTTTAAATGCATTATACAACTTTTTGTGGGGGTGATTATTGACAAATGATTTACAAGTTGTCTAGTAATCTCTTTGAACTCTAAGAACTATGGAAAAAAGAATAAATGGAATAAAATAATTGTTTTTCTTTGACAGGTGAATAACTGTTTTATACCAAAATATGTTCTAGTTCTTTAATATATAAATCAGCAAAAACGTCATTCAATTTATATCTTAAGTTCTGTCTTAGGAAAGCCGATGCGAAGAGTAATATCCAGATATGACTGAAGAAGAAGGAATTGGTATTCAAATGTATCAGGTCATCCCATAATTTCTGTCCGAATTTTGAATAAAGAAAACAAGTGACCAAATGTTACATTTAATTACAGATTCAATCAACAATGTATTTTCCATCTATTAACAAGCTTACTAATTCCATTACTGTAAAATTCTTTTGGCTTTGATTCGAAGAACTCCCAAATGTCAAGTTTAACCTCTTCCTCTGTTACAAAAGCTGTTTTTCCAAATGATTCTGTAAGCTACGAAGCAAATGGTAGTCTGAAGGAGCAAGATCGGGAGAATAAGGTGGATGAGGATTTTTCTCCCAACCAAGTTCTTCGATCTTTTGTGACGTGATTCTTGCTGTGTGGGGTCGCGCATTGCCCTGATGAAACATCACCTCTTTTCGATTCACTAGAGCAGGTCTTTTTTTCCTCAAAGCTTGGTACAAACGCTCTAATTGCTGACAGTATATTTGAGTATTAATTGTTGCATTAGGCGGTAAGAATTCAAAGTGGATTATTCCTTGGCAATCCCACCAGATTGAAAGAAGAACCTTTTGCCCATGAAGTTCACTTCTCGGCTGTGGCTGGAGTTCTTCCCCTTTACCAAGCCACTGTCTACGACGCTTAACATTTCGATAAAAGATCCATTTTTCGTCGCCAGTCACAAGTCTGTCCACAAAAGGTGAAACACGTTGGCGAGAATGGAGAGAAGAGCAGATGTCAACTCGGGATTTGAGGTTGTTTGCAGACAATTCATGAGGCACCCATTTCCCAAGTTTAGGAATTTTTCCAAGTTGTTGAAGACGACGATGTATGGTTTGAACTGAGAACCACTGCCAATTCCTCAACTGATAAAGCATGATTTTCATCAAGGACTGCTTCAAGAAGCTTTTCATCAAACTCAACTGGACGTCCGGTTCGATCTTCCTCTTCAAGGGTGACATCTCCACCTCTGAATTTTGCAAACCATCCTCTGCAAGTTCTTTCATTCACACATTCCTCTCCATAAACCGAGTGAATGTTTCTAGCCGCTTCGGCTGTTGAGTTTCCTTTCTTGAACTCATAAAGCATGATGTGCCTCAAATGATTCTTGGGTACTTCCATGTTAGCAGGGTTTTAATCAAACAAAATTTAATTTTATTGTTCTCTGAAATAAAATTTGATCAGTTTAAATGCATTTAAACATAAAAATAATGTTCAGACATTAGACATTATAAAATACTTAAATTTCATTCATTTTAACAAAAAGTTAAAATTCGGACAGAACTTATGGGATGACCTGATAAAATAATATATATGCATGAGAATTCCTGCTGCTATTGTAAATATTAATGTCTTAGCTAAGTTAAGCTCTTAAATAATGAACTTATAAAGTGACCCACGTTAAAGGTGTCTTTGTGTGGATTGCGAGAAAGTTTCAACCAAGAAGAATATCTCAGAAGGAATAGCAACTGTCTGTGACTCGACTGCTTTTGAAAAATGTCTGAATAACACTTTTTAATGGGAATAGTACCAGGTGTATATATATATATATATATATATATATATATATATATATATATATATATATATATATATATAAATACATGTTTCATTAAATAATATAGACAAGTTTTGTCTATTTATTTTAAGCAAGTTCCTTTCATATTATCTGCTAAGCTTAATCACATTATCGTTGAAAGACGAAAGGAAAACACCATATTGATACACGTTTAAATCCAATCTAAGCTTTCGGCTTATATAACCCATTATCAAAGATGACATTTTCAATATATCAAACAACACACGGACGAAACAACTATGATAGTCCGCCCTTGCCGCATGAAAAATTTCAAAGCAACGACAAATCCGTGTATACGAGACGCGGAGTCGAAAATATTGAAATTTTATTTTAATTTCCACATGTCCTCCATTATTAGCAATACCATGGATAATACGATTTTGCAGTTCACGGAAAATATTTACCAACTGATTTACAGTAATACCTGAAATCACATTAGTTATTTTAGCTATACTTAAAACTAGGCACATTAAACTTTATAACATTTTTTACTGATTATTTCTATCGCAAATACAAACACAAGTTATAATTTTTTTTTAAGTGCACGTAAATTTATGGGCACCTTGTATATATATATATATATATATATATATATATAATGTAAATCCATTTAAACTCGGTGGGTGAAAAAAAGAACCTTGATAGCACAATTTTCAAATTAATTAGCATCCGGGGAAAAATAGGGAAAAAAAAAAAAGCACCAGATATCTCCGAACAGGGCGAAAGAAATCTTCCATTACCTTAAATCTCTGGTACAAAGAAAAGACCCACTGAGTAATAAGTTAAAACGAAGAGTGCTCAATACACTAAGTAAAGCAAAAGTAAAAATAAAATCCTAATGATCCAAGTACATCTAGATAGTACCTAGCTCATTAGAATTTATTTATATATATATATATATATATATATATATATATATATATAAGACAAAGCCTAATTGCCAGGTACTACCTATCTAGGTTTCATCTCTGATTATCCCATATGGGGGAAACATAGGTAGGTAGTACCTGTCTCATTAGATATATATATATATATATATATATATATATATATATATATATATATATATATATATAATTATATATATATATTAATAATCTTATAAATATAAGAAATTATAGTCGTCCGGAAAACCTTGGGTGCCTTGATATGTAAATAAACAGACGAAAACACAAGGGGGGGACAAAGAAAGAAAGAACAGAGAACATGTACGTCAACCGTCAACGTCAAAGATCAGAGTCCAAATAAAAAAAAAAAACGATACGCGTAAGTAAAATAACTAAGTGCTCAATAAACTAAGTAGAGCAAACCTAATTAAACCTAAAGAGCCAGACAAACCTACCAAGGTTTCACCCACGCGGGATCGTCAGGGAATACTATATATATATATATATATATATATATATATATATATATATATGAATGCTTGCTTGTATAAGTATGAAGATTTGTATTTCAGTATGTGTTTTTGCGTGTTGTGTTTATTTTCGTAATCATATCCTGAAAACCGTTAGCCATTTTCGTGTTTATTGACTTTCATCGTTCCCTCTAAAATCTCCTTTTATCTGTCTTTCTGTTTCTTTTCTTGCAGTACCGTACGTGTGCTGAAGGCTGCTGCCCCCATGAGTATTGTGCCTATCACCGGATTTGCTACCCGAAAATCCACTGCCACTTCGGCTGTCCAGACGGCACCTGTCAACACGGGGTGTGCTTGCCCGACCCTCCTTGCCAGAAACGCGCCTGCGGCATGGGCAACAGCTGCAGCATGAACTTCAATCTAGGCTACAACACGTGCCAGTACAACCTCGACATCGGCAGCACCCTGTGCGTCGACAGGTACGGCCATGCCGTGACCAACGCACCTTGACACTGACAGTACCTTCCCGTGCCGAATACAAGCCGCTAGGTCGGAGACGGGGAGACTTACATCGTTTTCTGTGTGAATGTGTCTCTTGACTGATTTCCGTGAGTTTGACCTGGAAGAGTGAGTTGCGGCCTTGGGCCGTTCTATGGGAGCGCATGAGTGTAAGAATAAAAAGGGACTTACAAAGAACAAAGAAACGTAAAGAAGATGCACGTAGCGCTTCTTCAGTTACACTTACTGTCACAATTTAAAAGTATATCACAAAAACAGATTTTATTAAGAAGTAGAAAATATATATATATATATATATCAACACGGCATCACCCAGAAACTCGCAGAAATAAAAACTCCAGAAATGTTTCCTCTCAGATAAAACTCTATAAATTGAGTTATTTTTATTGTGTATAAGTCGATGGGTTTCCAAAACTTAATTTTTAGATTTCATAAAAGAAAACTGGGATCGACCTATACGATATGTACCTAAAATATCGGAAAACGTAAATAGGAAATTGGATTTACCAAAATTTTAAAAGAAAAAACAAAAAAAAACGGTTAAGAATTGAATTTCTTTATTTCCTGATTGATTGCTTTCTAAAGATATATTAACTATCCGGCGAGACACGGGAAACAAATTTGGAGAACGTAAGCCGCCAATTGGCTACCTCGAAAAAAAAAAAATTAAAATTAAAAAAAACGTCGAAAAAATGTCTTTATTTGCTGATGGATCGCTTTCCAAAGACGTGTTACCTATCCGGCGAGACACGGGAAACAATTTCGGAGAACGTCAGCCGCCACAGTTGGCTTGCTCGAAATTTAAGAAAAAAATTAAAATAACAAAAAAAATTCGGAAAAATTTCTTTATTTCCTGATGGATCGCTTTCCAAAGACGTGTTACCCAACCGGCGAGACACGGGAAACAATTTCGGAGAACGTAGCCGCTAATTGGCTTCCTCGAAATTTAGAAATATAAAATAACAAAAAAAGTCAAAAATTAAGTTCTTTATTTTCTGATTGATTGCCTTCCAAAGATATGTTAAATATCTGGCGAGACACGGGAAACGATTTTGGAGAACGTAAGCCGCCACTTGGCTTCCTCAAAAATAAAAAATAAAAATAATAATTAATATCTTCAGGAATTTCTTCATTTTCTGATGGATTACTTTCCAAAATTCCTAACTATCCGGCGAGACACGGGAAACAAATTTGGAGAATATAAGCTGCCAATTGGTTTCCTTGAAATTTAAACAAAAATTAAAACACCAAATTCAGAAAATTAAGTTCTTTATTTCTTAGTGGATTACTTTCCAAAGACGCCTTAACTATTCGGCGAGACTCGGGAAGCAATTTCGAGGAAAGTATCCCGTCATGTTACTTCATCAATATTTTGAAATACAAAAATAAAAAAAAATTTAAAAAAAAAACACCCAAAAATCAGAAAATTAAGTTCTTTCTTTTCCTGATGGATTGAGACATAAACTATTCGGCGAGACAAGGGAAATCCTAGGTAACTGACAAACGAACGAACTGATCAACTTATTCAAATTTACTTGAATTTTTGGGTAGAACCTAATATATAGCAAATTCTGATTGTAGGGGAAAATATTTCCTTTCTTTATGTATTGGTGGAGTGATCTTGGAAATTGTGTGTTCATGTCCAGCGAGACACGGAAGACGCTGGTCAACTTGACATGTACAGTATCTAGATGCGTGATGGATGTGGCCAGGAAATATTTTGGGCTTAAAACATAAAAAGACATTCCACCAGCAAACAATAATATATATATATATATATATATATATATATATATATATATATGCCAATTAGTAATAAAAGCTGTGCAGTGCCTTCAGCAGAGGAAATTCATCAACGGGCGGTAAACAAACTTACCGTACAAAGTTACTTCAGTAGTCTGCGTCGAAGTTCTTAACTAGTCAAATTTATCATATCATATAGTGACACGCAGTAGTCATAGATTTCCAACACAAAGTAATTAAGACCATTAAAATATTTTCATAAATATTCAAATTCATATCATCATATTGTTTGCACCTATACACAACACACCAGCAAGTGTTAAGAGTTGGCACTAGCGCCACAGCAGACTCGTTGCCTCATCACAGCACACCCAATGTAGTCAAATGTAAGTGACAATATTTTAGCACCAGCAAAGGTGAACTATCAAAATTATTATTTCTTTGTTTTATATGCCTTAAAATATGGTGTCTTATTTGCATAATTATTCTGTTCTCTTACTGTCAAAAACTGTCGACCTCTACTGGCGTCACATGGAAATTTAATATTTTCTGGACCAAAGTTCGACTCATACACTAGGCTGGCTCATATACGAGTATATCTGCTAAGTCATCGAACCAGCATGAAAGAATTTCAGAGAATTAAATCGAAAAGTGTTTCTCTGTATTGAAATGTCCACTTATGAAGACGAATCCCAGAAATACTAAATACTGAAAAGTAAATAATTATCAGACAAATTCCATTCTGTTGCAAGATCAGCCTGGAGAGTGTAACACATTCAGCAACGTAGAGTGGTCAAAGTGGGTCATAGCTATTATGATCAAAGGGTGTCTCTTCTATATAAGATAACACGATGTGACTAACTGAAGACACGTCGCGAATCGACCAACTAGGGACACATCACTAAGTGCTAATTCATAATTAGCAAGAGAGAACATATATAAATCAACCAGTATATATTCACGCTAATATTAATGTTCAGACTATTCTTCCATGATTTTTTTTTTTTTTTTTTTTTTTTTTTTGTTTGTTTTTTTTTTTTCCAGTGGTCGGAGGAGGACAGACGAATCTAAAAATAAAAAAATTCTCTTGTTCATCCCAAAAAGATTTAAAATAAGAAAACGTTTTCTCTTGTTTGGCCAATCCTACTCCATTATGTCTGAATAAAGCAAACAGTCTTCATCATAGAACACCAAATTGTTTTTTCCTAATATTATTATTACTACGATGACGACGCCTTGAAACACACTACACAATTACACACACACACACATATATATATATATATATATATATATATATATATATATATATATATATATATATATATATATAGATTGGTGCAAAAATAATGACGTAATAATGTCGTTTTTTGACCTTAAAAAATACGTCAAAAACGACATTATTACGTCATTATTTTGCACCAACCTAATATAAACGTTATGGTAAAAGGTCCGCGAAGAACAAACATCCAGCCAGATTCCTGAAGAATCCAACAAGAACAGAATACCAAAAAACTGACTCACAGGCCACTGTTCTAGAACAGGAGTAATCAGCGAGCCATCTACCTGACGAGGATGTATGAATGGATGGTGAAACAGGCGTCGGCAGTCTTGGCAAGGATACAAACGTTTCCAAGGCCTACAATTAATAGGCGGTTGTGAAGATGAATCGACGTCGTTAACTAGAACCATCCGATGTTTTAAAGCTATTTTTCGTGTCCTGTAAAATTTGAAAGTAACTCTTCCGTTTCACTTTCACTGGCTCCAAACGTCAACTCACCAAGACTTTCGTTTGTTTAAATAAACCAAGTAATATCGATACGATGTGTTACGAATTCTGCCTTACTTGAGATATACGACTAGGAAAATGGGGGGGGATACTTAGAATCAGAAAAAAAACAGTTGAAGATTCTAGGGCACATAGAGGAAAGACGGCTAAGAAAATTTAACACTCGCAAGCGATATTGAAGGCAAGATGGACAGAGAAAAGCAGCACATTACCTACCTAACGAGCTTGTGTAAACGGTTGGCAGAACAGGGATTGGGAGAAAAAGCGAAAAGACAAATATTGCTAAGCGCTAAAAAGGATAGGAAGTTGAGGAGAGCCATGATCGGCTACGTCTTGAAAGGATACGACTCGTAGAAGAAGAAGATGATGAAGAAGAAGAAGAAAAAGGAGGAGAAGAAGATATCGATATATTAGGTTGGTGCAAAAATAATGACGTAATAATGTCGTTTTTGACGTATTTTAAAGGTCAAAAAACGACATTATTACGTCATTATTTTTGCACCAACCTAATGCAAAAGATTAAAAACAAAAAAACAACGGAGTTTATGTTACCAGACTATTTGCTACCTGACTATTTGACAACAGCAATATAGGAGACATGGGTCAATATGTGGATGGATCTGTATATACACGTCATGCAATAGGACAGGAAGATTACGTTCAATAATGAAACAAAATGTCGCCGCTTGTTGTTGACCTCCGTGCCCACTAATATATATATATATATATATATATATATATATATATATATATATATATATATATATATATATAAAAAGGCTCAAACACTAATATTCCATGGTTATAATTTATTACATTGGAATCGAAATCATCTTTAGGCCCTCCTGTTCTTTCTTCTGTTACCCCCTCTCTCTCTCTAGAGCTTTCAGACATTTCCCTCTCACACTTGTTTCCCACTCTCACACATACACTCTCACTAAAATTTTATTTTTTATACCCGGAGTTATATTTTCCGATTTCTTTTTGAATTTGTAGGTCTGATGAATTGGATCGTGATTACGATTCCAATGTAAGAAATTATAACCATGGAATATTAGTGTTTGAGACTTTTTTTTATTATATTCTTACTCTGTCCTGGACATTGAGTTCTACCTGGATTTTATCCTCTTGGGAATTTATATATATATATATATATATATATATATTGAAATTACATATTATATATATATATATATATATATATATATATATATATATATATAAATGTAACAGAGCGAAGAATAAAATTCTAACGTTCAAAACATTAATTTAAAACAGGGCTCCATACAAAAGTAGAGCAATATTTATTATTCACTTTTACATTAGAACTTGTAAGTTACTACTAAAAAATGTACATTTTGTTTCGACATTTAATATTCAAAATCGTTCTTTTGCCTTTCTTTCCTTTCTATTCTTTTGGTAATAGGGTTAATTTCTTATGCTTGCTTTTGCCTTTCTT